CCGGAGATTTTGTTGGCCATTGTGCGCTGGAAATGAAACGAGGAACGTCATTTAGTAACCATTCTTGGGTGGCGCGTGCTGAGTGCGATGTTGCTGAATCCTGTTGGAATCCTAAAGGTCTGCGGCCAAAATGTTTGCGTGCCCAAGGCTTTAATACACTCTCCAGAATATTTTCGCGATAATATTCGGCATTTATTCTGATGCCACGGTCGATTAATATGAGCGGAGAGCGATCATTGGCAGTTATGGCGGCCCACACCATCACCATGGCCGGCACTTGAGTTCGGGTGGCCAACCGAAGGTGCACATTTTCAGCTGACCTCTTTGGCAAGTAAACACGATAATTATGTTTGCTGCTGGACAAGAATGTTTTCTCATCGAAGAAAACCAAATTCGGCAGTTCACCACTTTCGACCAAGCGAAGCAACTCTTGCACTTTTTGGAATTTCGATGGCTTTACCCCGAGCTCATTTTTCAATATTTGTCGAATGGAATATTGCGACGCGGGTTTCGATCAAGTCGCTTCTTTACTTTTCGAACCATTTCTGCTGATATTGCTGTTTTCTTCCGTCCACTTCCTTGACGTCGGGCTACGCTACCTGTATCACGGTAACGAGCGATGGTGCGAGACACGAAAGATTTACTCACATTTAATTGCTGGATGGAGTGCTCTAACGATAGCCACTTGTGGTTTTCCAGCCAAATATAAAGAAATCACATTATCACGCTTGAATTCCATCACGAATTTGTTTCTCTTTTTTTCTGGAAACTTCTCACCAAAATGCTTTTGTACGCTTGTAAAAAATATAATGAACTGTCCCTGGAATAATTTTAACAGCTGTCGGATGAGTGGCTTAGAAATGACAGTAGTCTGAAGTTGGTTGCAGTTTTTTTAATCTCACTCTGTATTTCTATTTATCTATCGGTTTATCAGTAAAACGACTACTACTTCGTTACCGGTATTAAAATTGCTTAAAATCTCCTCCTTTGGAAATTCACAACTCCACCTTGTATACAAATTTTAATTATTTTCCTTTTTAATTTCTTCGATTACGGACAAATTTCTTTCTACAGTTAAACAAGTATTCCGTTTTCATTAAAACAAGTGTTTTCATTAATTACCATAATTTATACTTCAATAAACCTAAACAATTTGCAATTTGGTATTCAATTTGAAACTTAAAAACACTTTTGAATAGCAAACTCCTTTTAACTTAGGCAACAATGCTTCATTCGAACAGATTTCGAACAATTCGTTCATTGATTCTGTTGTTCATTTAGTCAGTCATTCACATGAATACAAATGTTACAAAACATTCAACTTATATGAGCATTTATATTGAAATTATTATTACTGCTTCGAAATCATGGAAGTAAATTTACTGCAAAAGAAAGGGGTGAGCGGCAGGCTGAAAAGGGGTGGGAGGGGAAGAGAAAATCCATAATACAAATTTCAGCAGTTACTGCTTTTGCAGTTAATACCATTCACACACAGCGCACATAAAATAAACATTTTCATTGAGAAAGTTTCTCATTCAGCTCGGCTCGGCTCGGCTCAGCTCAAACTCAATTGAAAATAATTAAAATAGCAAATGTGTTACCGTTATGTTTTTTTTTTATTTTCCATCTTTCTCAACTTGTTAATGCTAAAATGTTATTTTAATATCCTCCTCCCCCCCCCCCCCCCCCCCCCCTTCTGTTGTTTTGGATGACTTGACTTTCCCAGGCAAATGTGTGTAAGCAATTTGTTAAACGTTTTCAATATAAATATGATTGGATGGCAAAAGGAATGCTGGAAAATTCAATGGAACCGAATAACCGATTTTCATGAACCGGTTTGAAACAATCCAAGAGATCTTCTTTCGTTTAATCTCCAGGTAATATGAAGTGAGGTATATACATAGGACTAAAGCAAACTTTTCTCATATACAGAATACCAGAAAGCTGCTATCAGAAAAAACCACCAGAGACCATTTTTCTTTAGGAAAGGTAAGAAGACCGCAAGAAAAGAATCTCTAATTAAAAACCAGAAAGAATTATTTCCCTTAACGATATTTTAAAATTCTGCTGCTCTTCTATAAGAAGACCTTCTGCTGCTCTTCTATAAGAAGACCTTCTGCTGCTCTTCTATAAGAAGACCTTCTGCTGCTCTTCTATAAGAAGACCTTCTGCTGCTCTTCTATAAGAAGACCTTCTTCTGCTCTTCTATAGGAAGACCTTCTACTGCTCTTGTATAAGAAGACATTCTACTGTTCTTCTATAGGAAGACCTTCTACTGCTCTTCTATAGGAAGACCTTCTGCTGCTCTTCTATAGGAAGACCTTCTACTGCTCTTGTATAAGAAGACATTCTACTGTTCTTCTATAGGAAGACCTTCTACTGCTCTTCTATAGGAAGACCTTCTACTGCTCTTCTATAAGAAGACCTTCTACTGCTCTTTTATAAGAAGACCTTCTGCTGCTTTTCTATAAGAAGACCTTCTGCTGCTCTTCTATAAGAAGACCTTCTGCTGCTCTTCTATAAGAAGACCTTCTGCTGCTCTTCTATAAGAACACCTTCTGCTCTTCTGTGAGAAGACCTTCTGCTGCTCTTCTATAAGAAGACCTTCTGCTGCTCTTCTATAAGAACACCTTCTGCTCTTCTGTGAGTAGACCTTCTGCTGCTCCTTCTGGTCTTTGATGAGAAGAACTTCTGGTTATAGATGAGAATACCTTCTGGCCTTGGATGGAAGACCTTCTGGTCTTCGATGAGAATCTTGAGATCCTCTGAGAAAAACTCTGTTTTTTTTGTGAAAAGACCTTCTGGTCTTCTATCACAGATGCTCCGACCTTCTATGAGAGACCCTCTGGCCTTCTATGAGAGACCCTCTGGCCTTCGATGAGAAGACCATCTAATATTCGATGAGAAGACCTTCTGGTCTTCTATATGAAGATTGTATCGTTCTCTATACGAAGACCTTCACATCTTCTATACGAAGTCCCTTGCATCTTCCATACGAAGACCTTTTCGTCTTCTATACGAAGACCTTCTGCTATTTTGTCAAATTAAATAGAAAGGAGAAAAGGAACCTGAGTTTTTTTCATAGAAGTCGAAAAAGCACAGCCAATGTTCGATTATTTCAATATATTTTGACTTCTGTTATGATTAGTCAAATTGTTGACCCTCTATAAAGTAGGTTCCGAAAAAAAAATGGGTTAATATTGTCCATTTCGTATCGGACCTAAATAAATATGACTGATTTGGACTATATTGGGTTCTTCCCTATAAAACCTAGGTGGGGGGGGGGGGTAGGTAACAGAAGAAATGGTCCGATCTCTACCATCTTTATAATAGATCTTGTGTTGATAGAAATATTGAGATACGCCAAGTCTGAATGGAATCGAAAGTTTAATTTCGCGTTCTATGAGCTTCGTGGATATTCAAAATTTTGACCCTTCGAGGGGGAGGTACCAGAAGGAGTGGACCTATATACCCCATCTTCAAAGCAGATCTTGTGTTAGTAGAAATAATGGGATCTGCGACATACGAAGAGAACCGGATGTTTATTTCAGATTTTATGGTCGTTTTGTTTATTTAAAACTTTGACCCTTTGTGGGGGAGGTACCAGAAGAAATGGTCCGATCTCTACCATCTTCATAACAGATCTTGTGTTGACGGAAATTTTGACACGCGACAAGTCTGAATGAAATCGAAAGTTTAATTTCGCGTTTTATGAGCTTCGTGGATATTTTGATCCTTTGAGGGGGAGGTACCAGAAGGAGTGGACCTATATACCCCATCTTCAAAACAGATCTTGTGTTAGTAGAAATAATGGGATCTGTGACATACGAAGAGAACCGGATACTTATTTCGGATTTTATGGTCTTTTTTTATTCAAATCTTTGACCGTTTGTGGGGGAGGTACCAGAAGGAATAATCCGATTTCTGCCATATTTATAACAGATCTTGTGTTGACGGAAATTTTGACATGCGCCAAGTCTGAATGGAATCGGATGTTAATTTTGCGTTTTATGAGCTTCGAGGATATTCAAGATTTTGACCCTTTGTTGTACAGGTACCAGAATGTGTGAACTCATCCATCTTCACAGCAGATCTTGTGTTAGTAGAAATAATGGGATCTGTGAAATTTGAAGAAAACCGGATGCTTATATCGGATTTTATAATCTTTTTGACCCTTTGTACCAGAAGAAATGGTCCGATCTCTACCTCCTTAATAACAGCTCTTATTTTGATAGAAATATTGAAATGAACCAAGTCTGAATAAAATCGCGTTTTATGAGCTTTGGGGTCTGTGAAATATGAAGAGAACCGGATGCTTATTTCGGATTTTATTATCGTTTAGGTTATTCAAAACTTTGACCCTTCGAGGGGGAGATACCTTTACCATATATTTATAACAGATCTTTTTTTAAAAGAAATATTGAGACGCACCAAGTCTGAATGGAATCGGATGTTAATTTCGCGTTTTATGAGCTTCGTGGGGGACCATATATATATCCCGTTTTCCCAGACATTGGGATAATAAAAATATTGTGATTTGTATAATTTAAGGACAATCGGACCCTTATATGTTATAAAAGTCATAATTATTTAAAATTTTGTGTGGGAGGCACTTGATGGAGTGGACCGATATTGTCCATTTTCGCACCTGACATAGCACTGATGCAAATATTAGTATTAGCAAAGTTGGAGCAAAATCGGATTATACTTTCGCTTTTTGTGCAGTAAAATATTTCTTAAAATCTTCGGCCTTTTGTAGGGAGGTACCAGAAGGAGTATAATAATATTGTACCAAGTTTGGACCAAATCGGATATTCCTTTTGAGAGTTATATTAAGCACCGGCCGTATCAAATGGAATATACCCTCTCTAGTCATATGGATGATTGTATAAAAAGACCTTCCATGAGAAGGCAACCTGGCCTTCTTTCAGAAGACCTTCATATCTTATTTGAGAAAACCTTACTCCTTTCGATTCAATTTGAAAATATCTTTGATCGAATATTTTAATATTAGGTTTCCTGTTTTTTTTATTAAATATAAAAATGAGTTTTTCAAAATAAATATGAAATATAAAATAACTAAAGAATTACTCTTCTCGTTCGTCCCTCCGCTCGCCCGCCAATTCGCGATATGAATCACATGCCTTCTGCAGTTTCGAATATTCCGGACTAAAATATTGTTCCAAAATGTTTAGATTATCATCTGCAGCATTTTTTCGATATTTCTTTTGTATACGTTTTCTCCTCTCTTTTGCCTCCATATCCTTTAATTTACTTAATTCAGATAATTTCACAAGCAATTGATTATTAAGATTACGCTCATCACCTCCATCATATAACCTCAAGAGTTGTCTAACTTCTTCAACATTTTCTCCAGCTTCAGACACATTCTCATCCTTGGTTTCCTGTGGCAATTTATTAGTACTCTTTTGAGTCTTTAATAGCTTCTTATCATTCTCACGTTTTTTGCGATAATTATTCTGCTCCTCTTGGGTTTTTAGTATACGATTGTAGAAATCTTGTAAGTCGGGTCTTAGAGGTAGACAGCTTCGTGAGTACACCTGCTGATCAATAATGTCATTCAGGGTGTTGAGAGCTTGTTTCATCAATTGTTCACTTTGTTGTATTTTTTGATCATTATCCTGGGACAAAAGGAAGAAATATGTAATTTTTAGAATTTGCTATATTCGAGGAGATACTTCTTACCTTATTTCGAATTGTATAAAAATTGGCCATTTGTGGTCTTTCAGGGAGTTTATTACGTTCCAGACTTGGCCAGAGAATTTTCAATTTGGGATGTTCACGTACCGTCCGAAAAATCTTTTGCACAATATTTGCTGATGATTTTCCAGATATCAAGTCAAGGGATGGGGGATCAATTGCAGGTGGGCTAAAAAGAGGAGAATGATCTTAATATTATTAGGTTCACAAAAAAATTTGATGAACATATGAATATAATCATGAAAACAATGGTATTTATAATTAAACGTATGGTGAACCTAGAGTGCGTATGATTAACGTCGTTACGTATACGCCATACTCCTAGGGGTATAAAGATATTATTATTATGCATTGTTTGAGTATTTTTGATAACTGGCTGCTATGGAAAATTAAAAAAAATTGCTTATAGAAATCATTTTTTTTTCTTAATTCTCTAAAGAGACCACTTACGATGCTATTGGGTATTTCTAATTTCTAAAAAATCCACACAATCTAGTATTGTCAGGACCATAATGGTGGATTATTATTTTATTTTATTTATTAAGAATACTTTTATTTATTTATTAAGAAAATTCGCTGAGAGCCTATCAGAATTTTCTCTATATACATACTTATGTAGATTTTCCTGAATAATTTCTAATGCAATTTCTAGGCAATTACGGGGGAATAATTAAGAACAAAGGTGGATTTTGGAAATATTTATCTATGAATTAACCGTGAAATCTTAGAATATTTTCTTAGAGACCTAAGGCTCTCCGTAATCGAGAATTTTTAAAAAACCACCAGGGCAATGATTTTATTGATACGAACTTTTTCGATGTACCATATTTCCTTAGGGACCATCAAGGTCCTTATGAAAGAATTTTGGACCATTTGGATTTGAATAATTTTATCAGGAGACCATCAGGATCATAATCCTAATCATAATTATATGGTGAGAGATTTCCAAAAAAAAAAGTTATTCGTGATGGAATTCAAGCGTGATAGTGTGATTTCTTTACATTTGGCTGGAAAACCACAAGTGGTGGTCGTTTCATTGGCCGTTTGAAGGCCATAATTCATGCCAAAAGTGACCAATTCGAATCAATCTAAACTTATTCTAAGATTTGATGCTCTTTCCGACATTTTTGCTTTCATTCAATAAAATTTAAAAAAAAATTAAAATTACGGCGTTTTACGTTGTTGCAGTTTTTTTTTTATCTCGCCCTGTTCTTCTAGGGATTCAAAGGCGGCTTTTAACAAAAATTCGTCAGGGATTCTATTCTAGGATTTTTAAAAATATTTTCATGGATTTAAAAGAGTTTTAAACTTGAATTTTTAGGAACATCATGAACAGGGATTTCAAAGAGGATATATTTTATTTTTATACCTTCACCCATATGGCTAGAGCTGGGATATATCACTTGATTCGGTCAAAACGTGCCTCATCAAAATCACGGTTTAGACCCTCTTGGACCAAATCGGTTTCAGGACATTTGGATTCGATCTAGCTATATACGTCTGCCCGTCTGGCCGGTGCGCACGAAAACTCTCAAAATAAATATCCGATTTGGCCTATACTTGGTACATCACAATATTATTATCATCGTATCGTTCCACTCTTCTGGTACCGAAATTTTCGAACTTTTCAAAAAAAAAAAAATATTTTATTGCACAGAAAAAGAAAGGATAATCCGATTCTGCTCCGACTTTGCAAATCCTAATATTTGTATCAGTGCGAAAATGGATCATATCGGTCCACTCCATCCAGTATCTCAACAACATTTTGAATAATGATAACTTTTATAAAATGTGATATAACAGTCCGATTGTCTTCAAATTACACACATCAAAATTTTTAATTATCCCAAGATAAGGTGTAAAGATGGGATATATCAATCCACTCCTCCCTCACAAAGAGTCAAAATTTTGAATGTACATGAAGCATATAAAAAACACGAAATTAACATCCATTTCCATTCAGACTTGGCCCATGTCGATATTTCTATCAACACAAGATCTACTCTAAAGATGGTGGGGATCGGACCATTCATTCCCCACAAGGGTCAACGTTTCAAATAACCAAACCGATCAAAAAATCCGAAATATCCTACCGGTTCTCTAATACAAACCATGCACGTCAAAACATTTATATCATATTAAATTAGGTCCAATGCGAAATGGAGGTATCGTCTGGGCTACCATCAGAGACTTTTTAAGGTAATCAACCCATTGTTTTAACATGGACATGACGCACAATATAAGTAGGTTTTTGGGCCACTAAAAGTCGATTAAAAAAATTGCTTATTATTCAAGTTTTGCCACTAAAAGTGATTGCATACATAATTTCTGATTCATTTTTGGTGGATTTTAGCTGGCCGGGATTTTTACAAAGGGGATAGTAAAGAGAATTTAATCGCCAATTTTTGGAGCATATTTTCCAGGGGATCATGATGGTGATTAATTTTAAAAATATATACTCAGAATAACAACTACACCAATGAGTATCTTTACTTTTAAGGGGATTTTTAATACCTTTTATCATTCTCGCTACTTTGAATATTATTCGGATCATTAACGGATTTTCTTTCCATACTCCTGAATGTATGCCTTCTGTGACGATCATCTGCCATAAGATCAGAGTGTAAAAGAATCGTGCCGTTTCCAAAATAAGTTTTATTTTTGGAATTCCCATGAATATGGCCCTTTATGTCAATATTCCATTTGACATCATTATGTTCATTATCAGAGAGATTAAAAGGAAACTCTGAGGTTGTTGAAGACTCCTCCCAATCTTCAGTATTATTTGAGGGTATTTCATATTCTCCCTCTGTTGTTGAATCTACTTCTAGCCAATTTTCTGTGGAAGCCACACATTCTGTTGTGGAATTTTTCCCTTTTTGCACATCACTTTCATTAGCTAATACTTCCGGTTCCGTAACATTTTCAGTTGTGATTCCCTCATCCATATCGGTATAAAATTCTGTAGCATTCTCTGAATTTGAATACTCTTCAATTTCCATTGTTGTAAAATCCACCTCGATTTCTTCCATTTCATCAGTGGGCACTGTAGTTTTGGTATTATTTTTCGGCAATGCTTTGAGAAAATCATCCAAACTGGTATAGGTCGTGCAATTCAACAGGTCATTGTGTAATTCCAAGGATATTTTATTTGGATCTTCTGTACCATTTGAATGGCTGGAATTTTCCTTGGTTATGGCATCTAACCAGGATCTTGTGTTGGGATAATGTTCATACAGATGTGTTGGCCAGTCATTATCCTTCAAATTTTTATCATATGCAATGGCATTTTTATTTTCAGACCTTGGGTGACCCACAAATGTTCTAGAGCCTTGCCTCAAAGGTTTTCTGCTACCTTGTCCTGATTTTGATTTTTTCCTGTGAGGGGCATGATGTAACCTTACTTTTCGCATGGAATTTACATTATTTTCTTCGTGATATTGTAAATTTTTATCAGCTTCGGTGGGAGATCTTATGTTTGGAGGTCCTTGGAAGTGCCTATACATTGAGTGGCCCTTATTTTTTGCAGAGGCCATGGTTTTGTTTTCAATATTAATTTTGGGATCCCTCTGTAATCTGGTGGCATAATAGTTGAAAGGGGGTCTTTCCCTTGGTTTTAAATGCGCATGAGGTTCATATTCAGCATGGGCAAGACCTTCTTCAACCTGATGGGAATCATCTAAGCTTTCGACATTGAACGGTTCAAAATTCTCATATTTGTATGAAGCTTCATAATCCTTTGACAATTGGCGTCCTGGGTGATAGATTCCGAAAAAGAAAGAGAAAACAAGAGATATAATCTTTGAGTTAAACAAGAAATATTCTGCAGGTCTTCCGTAGAAGTCGCCGAAGACTTTTCAATTTATCATCTATATAAAAAATCTTTTAGGAGCCACAAATTGGATAGAATTTCCCCCACAGCCCAGCGATCTTATAGAGGTCTTCCATAGATCGAAGGCACTCTACAAATTTCCACAGGGTGAGATGAAAAAACTGCAACCAACTTCAGACAACTGTCATTTCTAAGCCACTCGGCCGACAGCTGTCAAAATTATTCCAGAATAAATGCCGAATATTATTGCGAAAATATTCTAGAGGGTGCATTAAAACCTTGGGCACGCAAACATTTGGCCGCAGACCTTGGGTATTCCAACAGGACTCAGCGCCATCGCACTCAAGACGCGCCACCCCACAATGGTTACAAAATGAGGTTCTCGCTTCATTTCTAGCGCACAATGACCACAAAAATCTCCGGATACCAATCCGTTGGACTATTGTGTCTGGGGTATTTTGGAAAGCAAGGTTGGCACTAAAAAATACCAAAGAAAGGTTTCATTGGCCGTTTGAAGGTCATAATTCGTGCCAAAGGTAAACCATTCGAACAAATCTAAACTTATTCTAAAATTTGATGCTATTTCCGATATTTTTTCCTTTCATTCAATAAAATTTAAAAAAATGTAAAAAAAATGGCTTTTGACTTTGTTGCAGTTTTTTTTTATTTCACCCTGTGTACCCTCTCTAGCCGTATGACTGAGGGTATAAAATGGCTCATCGTTGGTAGACCTCCTACAGATCTAGCATTATTAGTAAGAGAGGCTTTCTAAATGGCATCTACGATTTTTTTACATATGGAATATTTAAAGACAGAAGACCCCAGAAGGCTATGCACAGAAGGCTTTTAAAAAGTGAATTTAAGATAAAGGGACTTTACAAATTCTTCTATAGGCTCGTCACAGGTCCTTCACAGACACGAGATCTTCTTTACATCTTCTCTACAGACAAAGTACCTTTAAAAACTCGGTAATAGATATGGGATATGTTATTGACTTAAGACCACAGAAGAATTTTTAAAGCTCATCTATGGACAGACGACCGTTCCCAGACCAAGAGACCATTAACGGCCTTTCTATGTATAGTTGGAAGACTTTTTATAGATTCTATAGGCAGACAATTTTTAAAACTCTTATACTGCCAGATTATATTTACAACGTTTTCTTTGACCAAAAGTCCTTTAAATGTTCCTCTGCAGACATAATATCTTTAAAATCTCTTCTATAGACAAAAAGCATTTAAAATTCTACTGTGGCTAGATGGATGGATAGAAGAAGCCCTTTAATACTTTTCTAATGGCAGAAGACATTTACTCTTTCCTATATGCGGAAGATCTCTAATAGTCCTTATTTTTCAAAAGCCTTCAAAGGCTTTATTACTTTAGACAGAAGACATTAAGAGCTTTTTCATCAATAGAAGACCTTTTCTCTCTCTCTTTAAATTTTAAAGTTCCTCAATACTCAGAAGGTCTTCGAAAGCTCTTCGATGAAACCTTATTTCACAGAAGCCTTTAAAAGCTCTACTAAAGACCTCCTAAACCCTCTACCTTAGACAGAAGACATTAAGAGCTTTTTCAACAACAGAGGACCTTTCTCTCTCTCTCTCTCTCTCTCTCTCTCTTTACAATTTGAAAGCTCCTCAATGGCCAGAAGGTCTTCAAAAACTCTTCGATGAAGCCTTATTTCACGGAAGCCTTCAAAAGCTCTTCTAAAGACCTCCTAAAACCGCTACATTAGACAGAAGATATAAAGAGCTTTTTCAACAACAGAGGACCTTTGTCTCTCTCTCTCTCTCTTTACAATTTGAAAGCTCCTCAATGACCAGAAGGTCTTCAAAAGCTCTTCGATAAAAAATACCTTCAAAAGCTCCCTTGTTGACGAACACTTTAAAAGACTCTTTTATAGACAGATTTCTATACACAAAAGAGGGGCCCTTAAAAAGCTTTTCTATTGACAGAATAACTTTAAAAGCTCTTCTAAAGACAAAGACATTCAAAAGATCTTCTATAGACATACGACCTGCATGAACGTTTTCAATAAACGAAACCTGTTAAAAGCTCTTCTATAGACCTTTAAAAGTTTCTTATAGACACATTGCTTTAAAAGCTCTCTATGCTCTTCTATGGAGGCCACTACAGGCAGAAAGGCTTTCAACTTCGTTGAAAGACCCTTCATAAAAGTCTAAATGAAGACAGGACATTTTTGAAAGCACTTTTACAGATAAACTAAAGAAGATCCTTAAAAGCTTTTCTGATGACATAAGACCTTCAAAAGCTGTCTAATGAAAGACTCTTCTGTAGACATATTGCTTTTACAACTTCTTTCGTAGACCTTAATTCTTTAAATGTCCTTCTGTAGACAGACATGGAAAAGCACTTCTTAGAACAGAATAACTTGAAACCCTCTTCTATGGTGAGAGTTCCTTTAAAAGCTTCTCTATAGAGGGAAAAAATTGTTTTTCTATGGAAGATACTTTTATAATATTCATTTTAATTACCTTCTTTCTCCAATTCCGACACTTCGTCCAGTACATATTCTCCCACCTTCTTCACATGCCCTTTGCCTATTGATCTCTTTCTACGAATGTGAGTCCATTTATCCACAACATCCACGGGATTCCAATCCATATTATCCGCCTCCACCCTAAAGTTCTCTAAATTTTCATCACGAACCTCTTGTTCATTATACTTTCCCTTGTTCCTCAACATATCCTCCTCTTCTGTGGACTTTAACAAATTATCAATTTTCAGCTCCCTTAGATTCTCGCTTAGCGAATAACTGGGCAATGAAGGACCATATCCTTTTTGCATTAATCGTCTGCTGGTTTTCAATTTAATTTCATCCATGGCATTGAAATTTGGTGATGATGACGATCTTTTAGCTGCCCTCCAAGGCCATCGCCAAAAACTGTTGGTGCTGTTGGTGCCCGATTCAGCTGCTTCTTGTTCAATTTTGGATAATTTGTAGTTGGCCTCATCGGACAAATTATTTGGTTTTAATTGTAACTCATCATTGAGGGATGAGTAGAGGTTTCCATTTGAAAAATCCTCCAAGGGATAATCTCCGTTAATTTGATCAGAATTGAGATTATTGAGAGACTTTGAGTAGTTTTCGTTGAGGGAGAATCTAAGACGACTTGGCTTTAACTCTTCACTTAAATCCTTTGGATTTTTGGAATTTTCCAAGGCATCATCAAAAGCATCCCCATGTCCTGTGGCAGTGGTTTGAAATCCCATTTGGTCATGTGAGTTATATTTCACTTCCTCAAAATTGGAATGTTTGTACATATTGTCTGCCCTTGTTTCCCGATCGTTTCTATGGGTATTCATATGTCTTCTTACATGATGTTCATGGGACTTTTGCCCTTGCTCACCAACTTTATGCAGAATTTTGTTATTTATTTTTCTACTTCTGTTTTTTGTTGCCATTTTGTGTGACGCGTGGCTTCCCCCATTCGGCTGCTTAAATTTGAGCGAATGTTTGTGGGATATATCTTCCAAACTCACATCCTTACTGTAATTTGGGACTCTGCAGTCCATTATATGGTGACTTATAGCCCTTCCACCATATTCTACATTTTTTCCATTTCTTTGCTCATTTTTGTGGCCATAGATCTTCATTCCTCTACTATCTTTGATTACCGCTGACTTATTTTCACTTTGAGGACTCGGAATCTTTTGATGTCTATTTTTGATATTCTCTCTGGAGGAATTATTAGAATAATCATCACCCCCTCCTTGGAGATATTCCCGATTTTTCGTAGGGTATTCTTTTTTTGTCTCCACATTTTTATTTGCCTTTTTCGACTGGTTTATTCCGCGAATTTCCTTGATAGCCCCATTCTCGTTGTCTAAATCCATTTGGAAATTTCTCAACAGTTCCTCCACAGTTTTTCGACGTTGTCTCAAAATATGGTTCATATTGCTACTTGCAGGAACATTCCAATCCCCATACTCTTTCGATTTCCTTTTAGAACATTCACAATCTCGGCATTGGCAATCTGACTGCAAAAGCTCGCATCCTATGGGTATTATCATCACTGAGAAAATTGCTAACACATTTAGTTGGAAGAAATACATTGATATCAAAATATTTGTAGGAGAATTTTTTGGAAAAATATATTTAGTTTTGAAAAGAAAAATGTCCAGACAATAGGGTTGACAAATTAAATCAGAGAAAAATTTTGGAGACTATATTTTGTCATGGAAGTACAGTGGGGAAAAAAGTATCAAAAATTTTCCATATATATCCAAAATATTAAAAAAGACATTTGTGAAGTATTTTATTGGCCTTCTAGGTTTATACCGGTCTCAAGAGACCATCTGTAGGTATGAAACTTTTCAAAAGTCTCATACAAGTAGATAGGACAGCTCGAAGCTCTTCTAAAACTGACGAACTTTGGAAACACTCTTGGAAACACGGGGGAGTACAAAATGTTTTCTATAAATCTCCAAAAAATTACAAAGAACTTTGAGAAATTTTTTATAGAGTATGAAATCTTAAAAGGAGGCTTCTCTAGATATGAGTTTGGTACAAAAAGATAGACAACCGCTCAAAACCCTTCTAAAGACAGACTACCTTTTAAATCCCTTTTACAGCAAAAGTGGGCCCACCGAGGACCTCCTAGGGATCTTCCAGGGATCTTCACAAAGTTGACTTTAAAAGCTATTCTGTAGCTAGAACACATTTAAAAGGCAGATCTCCTGTAGGCCTTTGAAATCACATTCACATAATTTTTTTACATTTTTTTTTAAATTTTATTGATTGAAAACAAAAAATGTCGGAAATAGCATCAAATTTTAGAATTAGTTTAGATTTGTTCGAATTGGTCAGCTTTGGCACGAATTATGGCCTTCAAACGGCCAATGGAACCGTCACATGCTGCCCGAATGTTGCTCTGCCGCATTTTGGACCATTCCTGGCAAAGAGCTTGCTTGAGGTGATCGACACTTTGGTATTAGTGCCAACCTTGCTTTAAAAATACTCCAGACACAATAGTCCAACGGATTGGTATCCGGAGATTTTTGTGGTCATTGTGAGCTGGAAATGAAGCGAGTAACCTCATTTTGTAAGCATTCTTGGGTGGCACGTGCTAAGTGCGACATTTTCTCCAAGGTCTGCGGCCAAAATGTTTGCGTGCCCAAGACTTTAATACATCCTTCAGAATATTTTCGCAATAATATTCGGTATTTATTCTGATGCCACTGTCGATTAATACGAGCGGAGAGCGACCATCGGCTGTTATGGCGGCCCACATCACCACGATGGCCGGCTTGAGGCTTGAGTTCTGGTGACCAACCGAAGGTGCACATTTTCAGCTGACCTCTTTGGTAAGTTTACAAACTGCTGTATAACGAATGTTTTCTCATCGGAGAAAACCAAATTCGGCAGTTCACCAATTTCGGCCAAGCGAAGCAACTCTTTAGCTCTTTTGAGTCTATTTTCTTTCTGTTGCGGTGTAAGCTCTTGCACTTTTTTGAATTTCAATGTCTTCACCCCGAGCTCATTTTTCAATATTTGCCGAATGGAATGTTGCGATATGTTCATCTCACAAGCCATTTATCGGCAACTACGACGCCGGTTTCGTACAAGTCGCTTCTTTACTTTTCGAACCATTTCTGCTGATGTTGCTGTTTTCATCCGTCCACTTCCTTGACGTCGGGATACGTTACCATTTGAATGCTGAAGTGCTCTAACGATAGCCAGTTGTGGTTTTCCAGCCAAATGTAAAGAAATCTCACTATCACGCTTGAATTCCATCACGAATATAAAAGGCCTCAAAAGCTCTTCTATAAAAAAATACCCTCAAAAGCGCTCTTGTTGAGAAAAATTTTTAAAACTGCCATACAGACCCTAAAATTCTTCCCTTAGTAGACAATTTTTTAAATTCTCTATGTTCGGAAATTTTTAAGTGTACAGGGTTGTCCATATTCTACGGACCCATCTGGCAACGCCATAACTTTTGACAGAGATGTCACATCGCTTAATGACATACCGCGTTTGAAGCGTCAGTCCAAGCAGATTTTTACCATGAAACAATACACGCCACGCGAGCGCTCTGAAATTTGCATTCAACAGAAGAAGTCAATTTTGAAAACTCAACGTGCTTTTAAAACATTAAAAAATGTGAGAAGTGCGCCTTCTAAGAACACCATTACGCGTTTATACGAAAAATTTTCGACTGGTAAGGCTCTTTCTAATCCGAAGAAGCCATATAAAAGTCGACCAACGCGATCGGCCGAGAATATCGCTGCCGTACGAGCCAGTGTTGAGAGGTCCCCAAGAACATCTCAAAAACGCCGTTCTCAGCAGTTGGGCATGGCTCGGTCCACTTTACAACGGCTTTTTAAAACTTCTCGAGCTACAGAGCACTTTTTAAACTTCTTATATAGGTAGCAGGTTTTTAGACCCGCAGGGGGTAGTAATAGTAGCTCCTTTTAGTTTCAGAAATATTCAAGGGTCTTCTGTAGGCAGTAGACTTGCCACTGCTTCTCTTGGTTTTCTATAGCCAAAATACATTCTACGATCCCCCTTTAAATATCACTTAGTTTAGAAGACAATGACGAAAGAGCAAAGTCTATTGAATTTTTTTCTTTGAATTAAAACATCTTTATTTCCAAACCTCCTTGTGGTTACTTTCATTGATATCCAAAGAGTCATTTATTACACGAATCCAAATTGAATTACTCCCCAAGTGCTTTGTCTTTTCAAATCGAAGAAAATTAAATTCGAAACTTTTTGTTCCAAAGATATTACAAACTCTCTAACTTAATAATGAAATCAACCAAAATCAGACACAATAACTCGTATGAGCTCAAAAAGTTAACGCCTAATAGAATTGAAAACTAAGGAGCATCATAACAAAAGTTTTCCACAAACCCAAAGAGTAACTCTTTTCGTAACTTTGGCGTTTAAAAACTAAAAAATAAATGAAGCTGTTCTTTGTTTGTTCATTTACCCGAGCATGTATGGAAGGATGGGAGAGTACATGCATGTATGTGGCAACTCAATGCTCAACAGGTGTTGTTATGAAGTGTTAAATGAAATTATTCTTACGTTTTGTACTGAACAACAACAAAAAACTAACTTTTCCACAAACAATGCCAGCACTTTTGTACACTAGCACGCACTCCCTCGGACCCACACCTGCAACGCATTGCCAACATGTATGCATGTGTGAAGAGGTGGTGTGAACCACTCCATAGACATGCATAGAAATTATCCAAAAGTTTTGTTTGAACATTCAAAACGACATGAAATGCATTTCAATGAATCAATGGCAGCCATGGAGGCAGGACCAGGGGTAACTGGTAACATGGCGTTTGTTTTGTGCCATTGAAAGTATAATTCCTTGACGATGTCATCCAACAAGCCATCCATGTGGGAGTGTGTGGTCTGGCATTGTATACACATGTATTGATAACGCAAAAGTTTGACGTTGTATCCGTTGCAAGTTCTGAGATTTCAATAACACATAAAAATGGAGAAAAATGTATGATCACATCATATGGGTGTGTGTATGTGTGGGTGTAGGAAAAGTCCATTGTTTTTCCCCTCTATTACGGTGTTGGCCATGATGTTTGATTTCTGGTTCGGTTAAGGTGTGCCCTGTTAGGGTTTATTGTATTTGCATAACAAATATCTACAAATGAGTAAAGAAAGAAGAAATCAGTAGCTAAGCATTTTTTTATTTTTCTGGAGATTGGTCGACTTGGGGGATAGGTAAGGGAAAATATGTTCGACTCGCTAAGTCTAAAAAAAACGTTAAAATTGTTTCTTTCTTCTTATTGGTCTATAGAGGTTTTTTGGAGGTTAGTTACGGGATCCATAGAAGAATTTCAAATAACCATCGGCCCATAAACGACATTTTGAAGGAGTCCTAGAAGGCTCTTTGTCTATTAAAAATCGTTAAAAAGTCCTGTGTCCGTAAAGTGCCTTTTAAAAGTTGTTGTTTTATAGAGGACTCTTAAATGATCCTCTGACTATAGTAGAACTTTAAACGTTCCTCGGGCAATGAAATATCTTTAAATGGTTCTTTATAAAATATATTGAAAAAGTCCTTGGTCTAAAGAAAATTTGTAAAAGATCCTTGGTCTATAGAAGGCCTGTAACATGTCCTCGGTGCAAATGAGGTTCAAAAGACTTAGAAATATGCATTGACATATAAAAGAACTTTTCTCATTCTTGGAGAATCTTTAACAAGTCCTCGGTCTATTAAAGACCTTTAGAAATTCTTCGCCCCAAAACAGATCTTTAAAAGCTCCTCGATCCGTAGAAGACACTTAAAGAGGAGAATCTTTAACAAGTCCTCGGTCTATTAAAGACCTTTAGAAATTCTTCGCCCCAAAACAGATCTTTAAAAGCTCCTCGATCCGTAGAAGACACTTAAAGAGGCCTCGGCTCATAAATAATCTTTTTGAGGGTTCTCCCTCTTCAAAATTCCCTAGAAGGTTCTTGAATATCTTTTAAAAGTCCTTTGTCTGTAAATAGCCTTTTAAAAGTTAATTATTTTTAGGAGACTCCTGAATGGCCTATGTAATAGATTTAAAAGGCCTCTTTAATATAAATCGTAAATATCCTCGGTCTATAGAAAATCTGTAAAAGATCGTTGGTCCACAGAAGTCCAACAACAAAGAAAAAAAGGACTTTTCGTGTTCTCGGAAGAACTTTAAAAATACCTCGGAAAACTCTTTAATAAATGTCATTGGTCTTTAAAGGGATATATAAATCTGTTTGTAGAAGATTTTTAGAGGTAATAGATATTAGAAGGTCCTTGGTCTGTGAAAAATATCAAGAGAATATTTTGAAAAAATAAAAAACACGGTCCAACGAAGATCTTTTGATGGCCGTCGGTTTTTTCGAAAACCTTAAAATGTACCTTGGCCTATAGAAGTCCTACAACATGTCCTCGGTGCAAATGATCTTTGAAAGACTCAAAGAGAGTCTTTGGTTTTCTCGGAAGAAAATTATTACCGAATATCGGGAGGTACCGTTAAAGGGGGGCTATACCAAAACGTGGACATATAATTACAATGTTTCGCTACACGAACTAGGACCCATTATGACCCACAAATATCAATTTTTAGACAAATCAGTAAAAAAATGTGGCAGAAACCATAAAAATACCGAATATCGAGATGTACCGTTATATGGGGGCTATATCAAATCATG